GGGTGGGGGTGGGACTTCAGTGTTCAAGTTGAAGAATGACCACAGAGGCTTTTATGCCTCTTTAACATTTCCCCCCCCCCAAGACAGACACCATGACTGAGACTCATGCAATAAGAACAAATGATATTATAAATATAATATTAATAATATTTATGGGGATGAAAACTGAGCAGAACAATATACAACAATACCTCCATATCCATAGGATCAATATCCACAGTTTCACCTTTCCATGATCTAAAAATATTAAAAGAAAAAAAAAAACACAGAAAACACACACACAATTTTACATGTATTATCAGATATGGCCACTAGAGGGAATACTTGTCTGGGAAAGAATACATGGTGTGGTCTCTGGTGCCCTCTAGTGGCCAGTTCTGCTAATGCATGTGAAAATATTTTTACAGGGTTTTTAAAATCAATCCCCAGTGGATATGGGGTGTATCCTACTGTAGTGATCTCAAATGTATATATAGTAATCACAAATTTTAGTAGCACAAACATTAATTTCATATAAGCCATTCTAAATCTCCACAAGTATAAAACAGTTTTTTTTTTGCCTAGTACCTAACAGCAATCAAAGTGGATGCCAGAAAATCAGAGGAGGTGCAAACACAGAAAAGGCCCTGCACTTTGTAGTTTTGTAGTCACCTACTAGTATCTTAATGAGTTAGGCAGTTTCTTCTGGGAGCAGGTGATCCTTCAGAAGATATATGCTGAAATCCTATGCACTCTTTCCTGGGAAATCCAATGTACTCAATGGGGCTTATTTTTGTGTAAAGTTGTATAGGGTTGTACTGTAAGCATCAGACTAGATATCACAGCTATAAAAGGGAAATCCAGCACCACTAACTCAAACTAATGTTGATTTTACTTTTCCACTTTTTTTGCATCAAAGCCATGCATGATTTTGTGCAAAATTTTAAAAGCATAAAAAACTTCATTTTAAAGATATGAGTCAGACTAAGTTTGACACGAAAGCATTTAAAATCAGCTGTTTAAAACAGCTGGTTTTATATTGCAGTTTTAAAAAACCGTGTTGAAAGAGAAAAATATTTAACATTGCACTCTTCTACATACCTATTCAGGAAGAAGTCCTGTTGAGTTAAATGGTGGTTTTAATTCCAGGTAAGTAGGGATAGTATAGCATTTAATGAACAATATCTCTACACATGATTTATCAGGAGATATAGTAATGGTCCGTTGGCCAGTTAGAAGCCTCTAAGGCTATATTACACAGTATTTTTTAAACCTGCTGCAGATTCATGAAATGCTAGTTTGTGCTTTGGCAAGGAGAGGGAGTGACCTGTAAAAAGAAATCCTCTGTGCTAGCATGTATTTGATCTGAATGTTCTTGTAGATTATTGCCAAAGCATAGATTTATCATGAAATGAAAGCAAAACCAAACAAAAATAGTTTAATAGAGATGAGTCCACTCATAATGTTAAAAAAAATTGTGTGTGTATATTTGTATGTTTTTATTTATGTATCTCGAAGCCGCCTAGAGTGGTCAAAAGACCAGATGGGCAGGGTATAAATAAAATAAATAAATATTAGACAAATTTATGAAATATTGATCTATCAACAGCTACCAGCCATGACACTTCAACTCATCTCCCACCACCACCCATTCAGAGGCAGATCTGTATACCAAAATGTATGAGAAAGGTCTATTGACTCCATGCACTGTTTATGAGCTTCTTAGATGGTAGATATCTAGATAACCACTGTTGGAAATGGGTTGTTGAACTAGATAGATGGTTGATTTCATCTAGCAAAGCTATAATATTCTTCTCTGAATTTACAGATCATAGTGTACATCTAGATCAGTGATTCTTAACCTTTGTTACTCGGATGTTTTTGAACTGCAACTCCCAGAAACCCCAGCCAGCACAGTTGGTGGTGAAGGCTTCTGGGAGCTGCAGTCCAAAACTCCTGAGTAACCCAAGGCTAAGAACCAGTGATCTAAATGACCAATTAACTTAAGAAATGATGAATTTTTAACTCACTTGACTATAGGCTATTTGAACAATTCATGATTAAATTAAATTAAATTAGTCAGGTTAATCTGACATCTGAAATAAATTTAGATATTAATGTTGATTTGGGCCTGGGGAAAAATTAACAAGGTGGAGCAAATGTAAATCAACCTCAATATAATTGGGCTGGGAATTTTCTTTTCTTTTCTTGAAGAAAAACAATCTAAGGGTAAACCCTTCTCCCACATCCTCCACTAGCTTCATTGTTATTACCTTTTCTTGACTCTTTCCCATCCAGATTTCCAAAACCAAAATGGTTAATGTGTGCTCATGAATGTTGAACAAATTTCTGGAAACCTCATTTCTTCATGGACCAGAGTAGGGCCAGCCTTACCATTATAAAGAGTGCAACAATTGCCTCAAGAAACAGGCTGGGAGTTGCAGTGGTTGCTTCAGCTATTATTCACGACATCCACAGCAGTTCTCCTCTGCTATACATTTTTTTTTAAGATTAGGCATCCTTCAGTCTCGAGAGACCATGTAACATCCTCTGTATGGAGGACTTGGAACAGCATCTAGTGTGGCTGAGAAGGCCAATTCAGGAGTGACAATCCCTTCCATACTGAAGACAAATACAATCTGTCCCCTATCCAGCTCCCCGATTTTGCTGGTTTCAGGACTGCCTCTTTCCCTGGGCCTGCTGGACAAGTCTCTCTTTAAAATGGGAGAGACCATGATGCACCACCTGCCTCCAGGCTGAAGGCTCAGATGTCAGCTATACAATATACATATTGTATATGACTGGTGAAGAACTTTCAAAGTGCTATAACTTTGTAGTGTAGATAAACTCCTAGAAAATTTAGCCTCAGGAAGACTAGATCACAGCTCTTCTCCCTAAAATGTTACATTTCCATGTTTCTGGAATAATATTATCTGCGTCTTTAGACCTGTAACCTAATTGTGTTGTCTTGATAGGCAAACAGCCATATTTTGATGTCTGCATAGTTAGACTGGAATATCTGGAGGTATAACCATGCTAGTCGGTAGCCTTTTACAGTAAAAACAACAAACCAATGCAATAAACAAGGTGTGCTTCTAATGAAGTGGGCAAAAGTTGCCAAGATCTTCTGCCATCTGAGACATGGGAATCTTTAAATTGCTGCAAGTCTGTCGTTTGTGTAAACAGAGTCACATCTAATTTTCACTTCCCTTTGAAAATCACGGGTGGGGATTGTCAAAGATTCCCAGGCTCAAAGAAACCCATGCTCACTACTCAACCACACTAACCTATCTGTCCTGGTGTGGCTGAAGTCAGGAGGACCAAATATGATGATAAGTGGCAGAATCCTCCTGCCTAGCACTCTCCCCAACACCTTAGTCCAACTTGTCTAAGCAGTGTTTCCAGGAAATTCCCTCAAATCCACGAAGTTGAGTGCTTTTAATTCTTATGCCCACCCTGCAAGGTAGAAATGCCACCATACTCACAGAACATACAGGCTTCTGGGTATATGGTCAAGGCAAGGCCTGGTTTTAAGTACCACCAACCCTCTTAATCCAAATGAATCAAACAACTGCAAAAAAAAACACATTAAAGTGTTTTTTAAAAAAAAGTCACAAAGAGCACAGAAATTTCAAAAATAGTTTCAACGGTTATAGAAACAGTCAAAAGGGCTGTGGAACAAGAAGTCACACAAACGTTTGAGGCAGAAGCAATTGCAGAACAAACCCACAAGCAAAATAAGAAAGCTAGCTAAACAATTCTAATACTTACATCCCAGCATAACTCCAGCATAGTCTCAGAACATATCCAAAATACATTCCTTGCAGCAGAGTAACCATTCAGTATAGTATTCTCCTGAGAGATAAGTAAAGGTGGTGCTTATCTATGATCCCATAGCCCTTAAAGTACTATTTAAAATTTAAATTGTGCAGGCTACACATTGCCCACCCTCACTCCCAGCAAGCTGGGTATTCATTTTACTGACCTTGGAAGGATGGAAGGTCGAGTGAACCTGGAGCTGGATCATGAACAGAGTTTTGACTGCAGTTTAGCCACTGCACCATGAGGCTTCAACTAAAGTAAGTCAGTTAAAGTAATTTCTATCCTCATTTTTACACCCAAAAATTTAGCTTCCAGATAATCTTCCAATCAGATCTCAAGTCTCCTTGAACTTTCATAAAGAAAAGAGTAACTCCCTCCTCCCCTCACTCGGCTGAAACTGCCTTCCCAATTAGTTTAGTCCCAAGAAACGAGCCCAGCTCAGCATTGAATTTCTCTCTCACAGCCAGAAGCTGCAGGTGTTACTGCCTTCCAATAACTGGTGGATATTCTCCTCCTCCTCTCAGCCAGCGTATCCCAGGCACTAACTACAAGGCCTGATTTTTCCTGAAGAGTGCCAGAGCCCATGATCCACCATTTTCCCCATCTCTTGACAGGGATGAATAGGGGTTTGTCACGGAAGCATAAAGCAGCTTTCTGAATACAGGGGAGACTGGTCCATAAAGGCAGGGGGAGCATTGTCAACCCACACATCCTTGCCTTCTTACTTACAACTAGTTTACAAGGTAGGGTGGGCTTTCACCTCCCTACTTGGTCAATCTTTCAGTACTTTCAGTCTTTGTGATACTCAGCAGACAGATTCCAACCCACAGAGCACAGGCAGAAAGAATCCCACCCCACCCCATCCTTGGAGGCACAAGGAATAAGTTCAGAATCACTGGAGAGGGAAAGAAAAAGAAGAGCTTGAGAATAGCCATACTGTCTCCAAACAAACAGAGAATCAAGTATATCATTGGCTAAAATCCTATCACTTGCTGTAGTAAATTGCACTGCAGTTGCCTCACCGAATCAATGAGGATTTTGTCAACTACAGTACTCAAAAAGTTCCATTGATTCAAATGGGCCTACTCTAACTGTAACTTGCTATGCTAAAGTCATAGTTAGGGTAGGTCATTTCAATCAGTGGGGGAGTTCACTCATCCAATTCCCAATGAGCCTACTCTGGTGCAGTTTACTACACTAAATAACAGGCTTTTGGCTGCTGCATGGAAGCCTTATTCACCAGGGAAGTACTGCGCTCAACATACATTGTGCTATGGCCATCCCTCATCAATGGGAATGGCCATCCCTCATCAATGGGACACTGGCACTATAGCATCTTTGCTGTCATCCTAAATTCCTCTGTTGTTGCTGTTGCTGCTGTGTACTGTCAAGCGACCCTCATAGGCTCCCAAGGTCAGTGAGATATTTAAGGAGTGGATTTATGAGTTCCACACCCCCAGTGAGTTTGAAACTCAAGCCTCCCGAGTCCTATTCTGACACTCTGTCCACTACATCACTGGTTCTTAACCTTGGGTTACTCAGGAGTTTTGGACTGCAACTCCCAGAAGCCTTCACCACCAACTGTGCTGGCTGGGGTTTCTGGGAGTTGCAGTTCAAAAACATCCGAGTAACAAAGGTTAAGAACCTAGGCACTACATCACACTGGGTATCCAAATTCCTCTAGGCCTTGGAATTTGGTTTGTTGGTTGAGGCAGTCTGTTTTGTCACTGGATTCGCAAGTGCCAGGGCAGCATCATGTGCCCTCCTAGACTGGCAGGGGCAGGAAGCAGCCAGTTTTCTGTTCCTAGTGCTCTGCCACCTGAGACAACTCCTTCATACAGTAGCGCCAGTCCCGTTTCTTGAACCAAGTTGCAATGCATTCTCATCTGGCTATCCCCACAATGAAAATGTTCATGGCGGTGAAATTGCTGTTGGGGCCTGGAAATGACCCATTATGCCCTGAAGATGTGGTGGACCAAATAACTTTCACCTTATCGGAATGGCCAAGAGAGTTGTCACTTCAAAACTGAGCAAACGGACCAGTCAAGTCAAATGCCTAGCTTCTTTCAGCCAACAAACCCCATCTGCTGCAGTATTTTCCCTGCTGAACTCATCACTCCTTGCATGAGTAAGGAGTGGTGAGTTCAAAAGGGAACATTCCCCCCCCCGCCTCCGGTTCTGCTGAAATTATTCTGCTGGGCCTTAGGCATGTGCTGAGGAGTTTAATTGCATGAGCAGACAGAGGTTGGAACTGCCTTTGTATCTAAATTACCATTCTAATCTAAACATGCTATATAGGAGGTCACCTTCATACAAACCATATTTTCCTTGTGTGGAGAATACATATCCAAACACATGTTCCCTTAAATATTCAAACTATGTAACAACATGATGACATATTGTTTTGAGTGCCTATATTGAGAATTTATTCCAGGACAATGTATTCTTTAGTTAGGTGCCTTTCTACCCAAGAGTACCTGGAATTACCAGCAAGGCAACCTGGATATTATTAATTTCATAAATCTAATTTAAATGCAAACCATGTTTCAATAAAGTCAGGTGAATATAAAGACAACAACTATACAAACCTGGGCAAGTCATTCAGTAAAGAACACGAACACTCGTTGGCCAAAAGTCTATTGGTTATGACTGCCAGCAATACGCAATCAGTGACAATCTCAGCAGTGAATTGCTGCAACTTAAGAAGCCAGTGTAGGCATGCAGCAAATGCCCCCATGGATTTCATAACTTGCAGCAATTCACCACTGAGATTTAAGCAGAGTGTGTTATGCCAGTGGACATGATGACTAATGAGATTTGGGCCAATCTAGCCTCATCGCTAACTTTCCAGCAATGCAAGGGAGGGCAGGTTAGGGGGTCTCCAGATATGAATGAGTTAAAATTCTGACCAGCAAGAGTCAGCATAACGACAGCCTCAGCAAGACCACATGAACTCGGCCCCTGTTTAGTCCCTTGCAGCAAGAATCATGAGTCTCATGGCACTTTGAACCTATTTGTGGATTGCAGCTCATTCCATCAATTGTCGCCGGTGCGCCTGGCGAGGTGGGGTGCAGCCCATGCATCCTTTGCCAAACCAAGCGTGTTCTTTAAGGAGCCACAGGGTTCTCTGCCAGCTTTGTTTATCTCTCCTGCTGTTGTCCATGGGCAATCAGTAGGATCATCTACATTTCCACTTGGCATCTCTTGGCTTGTGGGTTTGGAGAAAAGAAGCCGAGAGAGGCTTGCATCTTTTCTTATAAGTGAACATATTTGCATATCTGAGGTATTCATCCCCCATCGCAATATGCACACAAGCTGTTTTCAAATTGTCTAAACCTGATATTTCATGTCAACTCGTCTTAATCCAAGTTGTAAGAATGATCAGTTCTGATACACTAAACTCCAAGAACAGATGTTCCCTTAGCTCTATACATGCATTTATAAATATCAAGCCATAAAACTTTCTCAGATATACATAAATTCAAGCAGGGCATTTATGCATCTGTATACAGTACTGAAATCTGCTGTGGATTAGATGAAGAAGAAATTATACAAGACTTTCACAGCCTGGATTCAGCATTGTATGGGTGCCATTTAATTATTAATCCAAATCATATTTTGATAACTCCAGCTGATAGGTGCTATTTAGACAACTGATGGGTGCAACTCAAACAACATTTTAGATATGATTAACTTGAAGTTTGTGGAACTGAAAATGGTTTGGCTGGATTTCACCTAGTATGTACATCAACTTTCAGTTAGAGATAGTCCATGAAACTTGGTCATTTTTGTATTTATGTAGAACAAATGCATCTGGCTGGATAATTCAGACAGTTGGCTACATGACTGTGGAGCCAGGAGCCAGGCGTTTGACTCCCCACAGTGGCTCACAGTTAGCCTGCACAGCCATGAATAGGCTACATGGTCCCAGAGCACCCTCAGAAGAAAGGAATAGTAAACCACTTCTGATTATTCTGTGCATAGAATACATTTGAAAGGGTCACCACCATAAGTGATCAGTGACTTGATGGTATGTAATTATTAAAACTGCTACAGTGCTTTAGCCTCCAAACTGTCTCTCCAGTCTGAGAACTCTCTTGTTTACATTTCACTTCAGCCTTGGGAGAAGCCATAATTCTTTTTGCTGATCAAATCTTGTTCAGACTAGATATAAAAATGTTCTACAGAAATGTCCCCCGAGTGATGAAAGCCATTTATCGGTCATAGCATGTAATTTTCTTACCTACATATCTTGCACTTAGCAGACTAGATATAAAAATGTTCTACAGAAATGATGAAAGCCATGTAATTTTCTTACCTACGTATCTTGCACTTAGCATGCTTTGCTTTGTCACTGGTCACTGGAACATAGACCATTTGAAAGTCCAATTACAGGGACACTGTTGCTGAGGGAATCCTGCTGTGGGAGAGAAGACAGATAAATCATTAGGAATATCTCTTCTTCTTAACTTGCAGTTCAGTCTTGAATAAACTAGACTGTAAGAATGGGAATGCAAAGGAATACAGGGCAATATGCCCTTTCCACAATTCTTGCAAACTATGCCAATTACTGGATGTCACATGCCATGAAACAGTGAGTTTCATAACTCAAAGGAAGCACATCTCCTATATAACATGAAAATAAATGTGTCAAGAGGACCAGAATCAGAAATTATCACCGTATCTTTTCAAGGTTCATTACAGCAGATGTAATGTAAATCAATAGATATTTGCTTTCAGACACATTGTACTAGTAATCTAATATTAGAACATACAACAACATTGATCAGCTTATTGTTGTTGCTGTTACATACCACAAAGTTGCTTCTTATTTACAACCACCCTATGAATGTGGAATTTCCCAAATGTCCTGGCCTCAACAGGCTTGCTCAGCTCTTGTAAACTCAAGCCTATGGTTCTTTTAGGGAGTCAGCCCATCTCATATTTGGTCTTCCTCTTTTCCTGCTGCGTTCAACCTTGCCCACCATTATTGTCTTTTCAAAGAATCTTGCTTTCTCATGATGTGCTGAAAGTTGGACATCATTTCATCATTTTTGCCTCCAGAGACGGTTCAGACTTGATTTGTTCATCTTTCTGGCAGTCAAACTCTCCTCCAGCATTCTATTTTAAACGAACCCATTTTTCCCCCTGCCACTTTTCTTCACTGTCCAACTTTCACATCTATACATGGTGATCGGAAATGCAGCAGTGTGGATGATCTTAGTCTTGATCTCTAATGACACGTCCTTACACTTGGTGATTCCTTCACTGCTGCCCTTCT